TACAAACAAATGCAAGTGGAGAAAAAGTAGAACAATGATGGTTATAATACAAACAAAAGCCAAAGAAACAATTATGTTCCACATTGCCACTCTTTTACCTTCATCTGGCTAAAAACATCCAACTTCAAATCTTCCTGGCCATTTAATATAGGTATAAAACAAATGGGACGGTAAGAAGCTGTCCACGGCTGCTTAACAGAGGTGGCCATTGAATAGAGGTTTTTATTACAGTGTATAGCTGACAATATTTCCGGGACTTTGGCCGCTGACTGCCAAATCAAGGTTGGCTGCTTAATAGGGGGACAGCTTAATAGAAGTTCGTCTGTATAACAATGGCCTCCATTTGGCGCGGAAATATGCTTGGTTATTTGTCCCTGGACATTATCTGTTCCAAGAGGCGAACAGGGTAGCTCAAGGAAAACTGTGAGCTTTGAGGAACAGATAATGTCCAAAGACAAAATAATATCGGAGCATATTTTCAGGCCAAATGGAGGCTATTGTGTTTATTATCCCGCTTTGAAAATTGGGGAATATCACTTAGATGTTCTCCAGTTTTAGCTGGGGAATATATAGTCATGTGACCCGTTTAGACCAATCGCACACAGGCAAAAATATTTAATATAGGTTTACATATTGTAATAATAGCTTAACTCAGTCCATCTGCCTTATTATACAAATTATTTTTCAATTATGATCACTTTTTTGTTGCACAAAATGGAATTTGGTTGAGTGTTTTCCTTTCATATGTTGTATCCGTTTGTTGTTCAACCCATTTATTCACTAGTACGCTACTAAGTACAAAGTACAGACATGCACATCTGTTTGTTGTTCATCCCCTGGGGATGTCAGTGTTTCTAATGCACTTAACCCATGTTAAATTTTTCAATTCAACTAATGTGATCAAATCAACACAAGACACATTAATTTAATTTTTCTTACAGTATGCACTCGCCAACCATGAATAGAACCAGAGCTGTCACTGAGTTTTGAAATAGGCAGTTTTGAAAAAGAAAAATAGCTAGGGATAGTGGCAGCTGTTAGTGACAGGAGGGGGACTTTGGGGGTTCTGAACACGGCCATGGTGCAAAAAATTTCAGCAAATACTGCAATGTTGCAACAACAAAAAAAGCGCCAAATACTGCAATACATGTACGTCAATACTGAGTTGAAACTCAATGTCATACCAAAACCACTACTCTGTATGTTAAGTTTAGAGCAAATATAGCAACAAAGAATTTGTTAATGATGTTAAGTTAGCTTATTTTCGATTTAGACAACACAATCAAAGTAGG